CATTGACCAGGAACTTAACACTTCTAGTCATATAAATACTGTGGGAATAATTCACTTCCTGATGCATCAAACCCTGTCTATATAAGGAAAAAATCAGGAGTGAGAGTGAATAATCCCTTTGCCTGGATGGATCCAATTCAAACAACAATCCAGAAGCTCGACACAATCCAGGACAAAACAGCCTGCTTGATCAGCAGGCCATCCACCACTTCAAGCATCCACTTCCTTCAACAGTATCAGCACATGCACTGCAGCATCTTACCAAGGTTCCTCTAATAGCAACTTCAAAATCCATAAGCCCCTACAACCAGAAGAACAACAGTAATAAACAAATGAGGATACCACCACAACAAATTCCTCTCCAAGTCATATGTCATTCTGACGTGGAACTATACTGCTGTTTCTTCACTATCATTGGGTAAAAATTCTGGAATCCCAATCTAACAGCAGCTGGGTGTACCTAGACCACGGATTCAAAGAGGCAGAACACCACATCCTTTTCATGGACAGTTTGGGATGGGCAACACATTCTGGCAATTAAAGTAATGCTCACATCCCAAGAATAAAAAGTCTTCATCAGATTCATTATTGGAAATGAAATATCAGAAATGAATGAGCACAGTTTGTACAGTCAAGACCTATCATGATAATTCTTGGAAACGGATAGCAACTGCCTTAAGGGTAATAATTCTAAACAAACTCATCTCTAAACTCTGAGCCCTAGGTCTCGGTTCCCCCTTCTGTAACTGTTTCCTCCACTTCCTAACCCATAGACTGCAACTGGTATGAACAGGCGTCAGCACCTCTCCTCCACTATAATCCTCAACATTGGTGCTCCATAAGGCTGCATACTCAGCCCCCTCCTAACTCCTTATATAATCACAACTGTGTGGCCAAATTCCACCCCAATTCCATTTACAAGTTCGCTGACGACACCACCGTTGCACGTCGGATCTCAAACAATGACAAGACAGAATACAGGAAAGAGATTGAGTGCTTAACGGCATGGTGTAAATACAACAATCTCTACATCAACGTAGCAAAACGAAGGAGCCGGTCATTTACTTCAGGAAGTTGAGTGGAGGGCATGCCCCTGTCTGCATCAATGGTGCTGAGGTGGAGATGGTAGAAAGCATCAGGTTCCTGGAAGTGATGATCACCAACAATCTGTGCTGGTCCACCTACGTTGATGCAACAGTCAAGAAAGCACAACAATGTCTATACTTTCTCAGGAGGCTAAGGAAATACAGGATGTCCACAAAGTTTCTTATCAATTTTTATTGATGCATCAGAGACAGCATCCTATCAAGATGCATCACAGTGTGGTATGGCAACTGCTCTTCCCAAGACTGAAAGAAATTACAGAGATTCGTGAACACAGCCCAGTTCATCATGCAAACCAGCCTTCTATCCATTGATTCCATCTATACTTCCCAATGCCTCAGGAAAGCAAACAACATAATCAAAGATCCCTCCCACCCCAGTCATACTTTACTACACTCTCTTCCATTGGGCAGAAGATATAAAAGTTTGAATACACATAAAAAAAATTTAAGAACAGCTTCTTCCCTGCTGTTATCAGACTTCTGAAAGGTCCTCTCAAATATTAATTCTGATCACTCTCTCTGCAGCTGTAACACTGTATTCTACACAGTTCTGCTACCCTGATGCACTTTGTATGGTATGATTTGTGTAGCGTGCAAAACAAGACTTTTCACAGTATCTCAGTATGTGACAACAATAAATCAAACTCAAACTCAAAAATAGTTGCCTCTAAGAGAAACCAAGTCAGGACTAGAGGTGAAGGTGAGAGAGAGGTATAGAGGGTGAAAAGTGAATTCTGAGTGAGGGTTGCAGGAATGAGCACTGGGATGACTACTGTTCCTAATCTGTGTCAACTACTTGGATTAGGGAATGCAGTGATCAAATTTGCAACAGAGAAATTAAGTCATAAGAATAAGATTGAAAAGATTAATCAAAATGTACTTATTGGCAAAGATCAGCACATTATTTAGTGTTAACAAGTGTGTATTATTTCATATATATAGGAAAATGAAACATACACTGAATGTGTTGAAATAGCAAAGGAAGAAATTAAGAGTGAGGAAACTGAACATTCAACATATCTACCCACAGCAGGACCACTGTTAACAGAATACCACAATTCATAACCAAACAGTAGAACATAAGTTTGATAAATCATCAAACTCTACAGTGTTACGGTCAGACAACACCTTGATTACTGTTCAGCTCTTGGCTGCCAAGCAACAATTGAATTGTTAAAGGTCTGGAGGCAATGCGATACAGTGACCCAAGGCTCATTCCTAATTTCAGAAGACCAAGATACTAGAAGAGACTTAAGAAACACAGCCTTTCAATCCATATAGGAAGTGTCTCAAGTGCAATGTTAAAGAGGAAAACAAAATAATAGGATAAATGTTAGTTTATGGTCCAAGATGGATCCAAGATTAACTTAGTAGTAGGAGACGGAGGGTGGTGGTAGAGAACCACATCACGAGTCCAGTAGTGTACAACAGGAGTCAGTGCTGCGTCCTTTATTGTTCGGGATATATACAAACAGTAAAGATGAGAACATAGCAGGAGTGATAAATATGTTTTTGGATGACAAGAAGATGGGCCAGGTGCTTAATAGCAAGGAAGAATGTCTTAGGCTACAGGATGATATTGATAGATTGATCAGATAGACAGATCAGCAGCAGATGTCATTTAGGATCCAGCTTGCCAAGTTACTCAGATCCCAAGTGCTTTAACTTTCTTTATAAGTCTCCAGTGTGTGACCTTGTCAAAGGCTTTGCTGAAATCCATATACATTACACTGACTGCACTAAACTCATCAATATATCTGGTCACCTCCTCGAAAAACGTAATCAAATTTGTTAGGCATGACCTTCCTCTGATGAAGCCATGCTGATTATCCCCGATTAAATCTTGCTTCTCCAAGTGAAGATTAATTCTCTCCTTCCGAATTTTTTTCCAATAGGTTCCCTACCGCTGATGTGGGATTCACTGGTCTGTAATTCCCTAGTTGATCTCTACTGCCCTTCTTGAAAACTAGAACCACTTTAGCTGGTCCTCCAGTCCTCTGAGGAGAGTGGGTGAAGAAGTTGTGGTGGTGCAAGGCTAAATTCAAAGGTTATTAGTGCGAACCCCACACAAATTTTGAAACTGACTTTTTCAAAAAAGATTAATTTGTGCACTAAGATCAGACAATTGTCATAAATGCTGCAAGATCGGTGAAAAGTATAAACTAGCTCACCCACTTTCTTTGGCAAAAAGAAGCTATCGTGGGTTACTCTTGCCCATATAATATGATGACTTTACAGTCCTTGAGGTAACCAAGGATGAGCAATATGCATTGCCAGTGTAGCCAAAAATTTAGAACAAAAATAAGTGAAATCAAGAGATAGCAGGAACTGCAGATGCTGGAGAATCTGAGATAACAAGGTGTAGAGCTGGATGAACACAGCAAGCCAAGCAGCATCAAAGGAGCAGGAAGGCTGAAGTTTCGGGCCTCGACCCTTCATCAGAAATGGGGGAGGGGAAGGGGGT